AGAGAAAGAGAGAAAGAGAGAGGGGTTGTTGTAAGCTTTTGTTTATGTTATTGTAAGTTTTGTTCTTGAAATAAAAGAGTGTGTTTTATCCCCTCTGAGTGTTTCAAAGTCACCACAAGTGGTTTCTCCCACCAACATTCTCCTCATCAGTATTCTTCAATGTTACCATCTCCCTTTCAGTGATTATTCCATGTGAAGCCTAGGTCGATAAACCCCAACCCAGCAACCCTTCTCCTCGTCAGTATTCTTCAATGTTACCATCTCCCTTCCAGTGATTATTCCATGTGAAGCCTAGGTCTATAAACCCCAACCCAGCAACCCTTCTCCTCGTTCAGATGCAAGAGAGCATGGAAATCATCTCAAATTAAGAAAAAAGGATGCGAGAAACATAAAATATCACCAAGCAATGAGGCAAACTGATTTTTGCGTATAACATCATCACAGCTAGCATAAACTCCGAGCACTTCAAAGTCGTCACATCCTCTGACCTGTTTAATCTGACATTAACGGATGAGATGCGAGAAACCTTAATGTCTACCATGTCTCTCCAGCCTAGTGCAAAACCGCCAGCTGTGCCGTTCGGTTTAATGAAGAAGTGATTCGTGATCCCTTCCCTTGCAAAGGAACATGCATCTCCATTTCAGCTTTGTTGTTCTTCGTTTCAAGCAAAAGAAAAACATCTTGGGAATAGGATTGCATAATCCCTTTCAGAGTGTTGCATTGTCAGGGAATTCCTCATGCCATGGCAATTCCAACTCAAAATATTCATATATGGGGCTGGGGCCATTTCAGGCTGGCTACCGCCTCCTCAACATGCAGTGGATCAACTGTACAGACCCGTTTCCGAGTGTCAATAATAGAGTCGCTATACATGGCTCGCTTGGTGCTGCTTTCTCCCTTGTCTGTATTAGTGGCTGGACACATACAAAGACAGGAGCATAACCTTTCATCCTAGCCAAATCCTTGAATCTAAGCCTAGGCCCAAGGGCCGGCACAACCACAGTGGGAATTGAAGATGCTTTCTAGGTCTCTAATTTTTTATTTTTTTACACTTTGGTCACTAAACTTCATTTCCTTTTACTTTCATCCTTACAAGTTGTGTTCATATGATTCTATGTCTTCGGATTTGTATTGATTTGCATGCTTTCGTATACAAGATGTGTTGAATATCTTGAAATTTATATTGTTTTTAAAACAATAATTAAAAGATCAAGGATCAAAATTGATATTAAAAAACTTTTTCCAATTACACCATACAAAAGATATGGAAAATCTCAATTTGGTCCCTCAAGTTTCATATTTTGCATATTTGGTCTCTATTTTTAACATTTACGTTTCAATTATAAAACTTTATTTCCTCCACACTTTAGTCCCTTGCTACTGTTAAAGGAAAGATAGAGGATAGAAAACACTATTGGATAACCACGTTACAACCATCAATAACTAGAATTTTGGTAGCGAAGAATTGAGCGGAGAACTCAATGAAAGTGGTTTCTACCTTGAAAAATAGATCATGACTTAACAAATGTTTTTGATATTGAGTTTATTATCTAAGTAAAATGTCTTTTATGATTATAATTAAGATTTTAGAGGTACATTTGATGTTTTTCTTTTCATGTTTTCAGGTTAAATTTAGGTTTTTGGAGTTCAAAAATCTAATCATAATTTTTCAGTCACCTAAACAATCTTCAATAATTTATAATTTGAAAATAGTATAGGTGGATGATGTATTGTTATTTTTTTTAAATAGAGATGGATGACATGACATCCATTCCTTTAAAAAATAAAAAAGTGTGTGGGCCTAATTTTTTTAATAATGTCTATTAAATTTTTATTTGATTTGATTTTATAATAAGACTCTCTTTAAATAAATTTATCAAAATAATTATTTGATTATGTTATAATTTTTAAATAATATTATATTTTTTTATGGAAATATTAACAATTAGTTTTTGAATAATAATACATGAAGCTAGTAAATATTCTATGCGAATAAAATGTTTATTTTGTTATTTTTATTGTAATTTTTTCATAAAACTTTTTATCAAATTTATCATTCTTATATTTTTAAGATATTTGTGTCCAAATTATTTTTTCATGTTTTTTCTATTAAAACTTGTTTTTAAAATTACAACAAGTTTTTTTAAAATTAATATTTCTGATGGAAAAGGCATGTTTTGGTAAAATAAAAAAGAAACGCAAAAACGTTTTGATTAAATATTTTCTTTTTTTCCTCCTTAATTCAAATTAATAATTTCTTCAACGACCGACCTATTCAAGGAGACATTTTTTCACCGACATGTGTGGTCTCTTGATTCAATTGATGATTCAGGATGGTGATCTTAGGCTTCAAAACACAAATGATTTATGCCACTACTAGTTGCTGGCTATTTACGGATTGTGATAATAATAATAGTTTAAAATATTTTATATTTAAAATAATTTTTTTAAAATTTATTTTTAATATTAATATATTAAAATAATTTAAAATCATAAAAAAATTTATATTAAATAAAAAAATTTAAAATTGAAGGGAATTCGGTTTATACCATGTTCCCAAAAATATTATATTATTTAAAAAATAATTAGTTTTTCACTGTGTCAAGCTTTATTATTCATTTTTTTTCATATATTATTGTAAATAAATTATGCAAATTTTTATTTTTTCTAATTTGATTCTCAAATAATTTTTTAGTTGAGATATTTTTTTTACACGTAATTTCCAGTAAAGTAGTGTTCCAAAACCAAGCGACTAATCACAAAGGTTAAATCAATACATATTTTATGAATTCTTAGACGATCACGTTGCTTCATCGTGGCCTGCAGGCTACCGAGTGGCATTCTAGATGATGAAGGCCATTTTTTCACGTTGCTTTGTTTAATTCAATGGGGATAGAAGAGAGTAATGGTCATCTCATTGATCCATCCATGCTACTGTGCCGTAAAATTGTTTTGCACAAGTCATTTTCTTACATAATCCAAAGGAATCTTCAATTGGGTATGCTTCAATCACTACAAAAGTATACCAGCTATTATCTCTATAAATAAGATGATTAACCATGATTCTTCCTCAACCAAACCCCATAAAACATCTTCTTTTTGCCTTGGCTCGCTAGCAAAAAAGAAATGGCTTCAAGTATTGTTTTGTTGGGTCTTCTGTGTTTCAGCCTGATATCGTACCAAGCTATTGCTTCAAGAACAATGGATCCCACAGAAGGCTTCACCTCCCTTCCTCTAGATCAATCAAATTTCGAAGTTCAGTGGCCATATAATATGCAAGAGGATCAAAGATACAGCTTCGAAAATGGCATTCGTAGGATGTGGGTGTATTCCAATGATAAGCCCCATTTCCCTACTAGTCATACTAGACCACGTACTGAGATCCGGATACAGGTAAGAGATCTGCTGTGCTGAAACTCATAAATTTAGAGACCGAATGCTTGGATTTGTAATTATCTTTATAGTTATAGGAAAACTGCATGTAAGGTCAGTTTTGAAATATAAATTACCAATAAATCTTATGTTTATAGTTATAAAATTATCTTTCTGGTAACAGGGATACGATTACTCTTCTGGTGTGTGGCAATTCGAAGGATACGGATACGTGCCAAGCGGCACATCTGGTGTGTGCATCATGCAAGTCTTTGGAGCAACTGGTCATGCCACAACCCTAATGCTTAGAACCTACAACGGTGACCTATATTATTACAGTGATGAAGTCATTGTCAAGAACATTTATGATAGATGGTTTCGAGTTAATGTGATCCATGACGTAGATGCTGCTAAACTGCATATCTACATAGACGGGGCTCTGGTGTATGAAGCACAAGGACGTGGAGGGGAATCTCACTACTTCAAATGTGGAGTTTATGAGCAGGATGATAGTTCTCACTATATGGAATCTCGTTGGAAAGGAATCAAGGTTCTAAAAAAGATGTAATGATTCTGAAAAGGTATAATATTTAAAGTATAAAGTTGTGCATGCATATGGAATTGATGGAGTAAAATTACTAAAATATTTTCTATTTGTGAAAACACTTTATAGTTCCATTTTTCTTTAGTTTCTATCATTTCTTTGTAATGCCTCTCTAGTTTTCCACCTTGGGTCAACGCCAAACCAAACCCTCTATTTAAAATTTGCTAAGGCAAATCCTAAAGATGATTTAATTAAAATTCTAAAAGATATAATTTAATTAATCAAATTTTATATTTATTTTTTAAAAATTACAAATTTGAGTTTTATATATTTTAAAACTATTTAAAATTTACATAATTATTAATTTTAAAGTTCATAAGATTAATTAAAATATACACAAGTTAAACGGACACTCATATTAATAATTAAAAAAAATAATAATTAACCATCACATGAATATAATTTTAATTACTAGATTGGATAAAAGAACTTAAATTTATTTTAATCGAAAATGCCAAGGTTAATTTGACCAAATTTCAAAGCAACACCTTGCATATGATATTTTTTATTTTGATTAAGATCGAATGATTTTATATGTAATTGTATCCAATAAAATTAAGGCATAACAATAGCTCGATGAATCTAGTAATTATAAATGTTTGGACGGATCAATATGCCAACCTATTCTAATTAAATTAATTTCAAAAATCAATGCTAACGATATACATATGAATCCGTGAAGGATGAGAGGGACTCATTGGCATGGCATCTATGATTTTAAAAACTGAGCACATTTAAATAATAACCATAGAAATGACTCGTGAATATGATTTTTCCCTACGCAAATAATTTATAGCCACAAGATTCTGAAGCTATTTGCATGTCTTTAACAGAGACAGATGCCCTTTTGTCTCGAGGGACAACGGCTTGTAATAATCATAGAAGAAAACAACTGTCCCATTGGAAAAGGTGAAACAAAATCGTTAGTTATTGTGCTTAACACTCTCCCAACTATTCAAAACAACCTTCACTTGATCAGTGCTTCATTTCATATCTCCTTCCTGTTCTCTGTGCATTCTCGAAAAGAAGAGATGGCTTCATTTTGCGACCTTTCTCTACCAATCACCATCAGTTTTCTTCTTCTCGTCTGCCAGTCATTTGGCTGGCCTATAGATCCAACTCATGGCTTCAAACAGCTACCATTTAACACATCTTTTTACCATATCCAAAAGCCTTACAACTTGCCTGAAACTGATCGGTATAGCTTCTTCAGTGGCATCCACAAGCTATGGGTGTACTCCACAGACAAACCTCTGTCCAAAAATAGCCCAACCAAGCCTCGAACAGAAATCATTATTAGTGTAGAACATTAACAAAACTATTTATCATCATATTATTATTCCTTTATTTACTTACAATCTTATTCGATCTTTTGTTGGCGTAGGGATATTATTATTCTTCTGGTGTGTGGCAATTTGAAGGTTATGGATACGTGCCATGTGGAACATCAGGAGTGTGTGTCATGCAAGTGTTTGGAGCTGGTGGGAATCATGCAACAACCTTGATGCTTAGAGTCTATAATGGCACACTATATTATTACAGGGAAGCGGCCATTGTTCCAAACATCTATGATAGATGGTTTCGAGTAAATGTGATCCATGATGTTGATGCTTCGAAAATTAAGGTCTATATTGATGGGGTGCTCATGTACGAGGCACTTGGGCGTGGAGGGAAATTCCATTACTTCAAGTGTGGAGTTTATGCTCAGAATGATGATTCTTCCTATATGGAGTCTCGATGGAAGGGAATCAAGATTCTGAAAAAAAGTGATTGATCATGTTCTTTGTTTGTAGTTTGGACATTGAAAGTGTGATACAATAATGATGAAATAAAGACAAGTACATATGTATGCTTTAGTTCTTGTTCATTATTAAGTCCTGTTACATAATATATATAATAAAACAAAACATATATTCAAACTAAAGACAAACATATCTTGAATACAAAAATAATAATAGAAATCTATAACACATACTAAATATATATTCAAACTTATAATATATATAAGATCAAAGTCCTTGCATCCATACTAATAATAAAAATAAAAATATTTAAATTAAAATAAATAAAAGTATTTAATTATTAAAGCACTTTAAATAAATGATCCTTTGTCCTTAAAATTTTATTACTCATCACTTATTTATATATATAAAGATTCCAACAAAATCAATATTCACATATCAAATTAAATTAAATTTATTAAAGAATGACTCATGATATAAGACCCGAAACAAAAAAAAATTCTAAAATTTAAGACCTAAAAACCAAATATAAAAGAAAATAAAAAAAATCAAAAAATATAATACTGCAAAAGCAAACTTGAATCAACTCAATTTAACATGATAAACCCACAACTCATAATGTGATTGAGATAAAAAAAAGAAATTAAAAAGAATACCTAGCAAAAAAAATAAAGTTTAACAAAAAAAACTTTTAAAAAAATCTGAGCTAATTTTATTAACCCGCTATTATAATAAGCAAATACAAAGAAAAGCAAAAAAAAAATAACAATAATCAAGGGCAAATTATTCCATGCAAAAGATAAAATTATAAAAAAAACTTATAAAAAAATCAAGGAAAAAAATCAAATTTCCAAAAAAACACATAGCAAAAATCATCAAAGTTTAATAAAAACATTAATAAAAAAATACAAGTTAACTCATATTTATTTTATTCTTCCTATTACTTAACTAGGATGGAAATGGTGATATTTATCTTTTCTATTGTTTTATTAGTTCTTTACCCAAAATATTTAAATATCAATTAGAGTTATTAATCATGAAATTATATAACAACTCTTTTTTCTTGCTTTAGCTCTTTTTTTTTTGTTAGCTTAACTCGATATTCACATGAGATATAAAAAATCAGATTTTATTTCAAATCAAGCTAGGTTTATTACCACATCAGTTTAGGTTATTTACTTTAGGTTTATTACCTTAACATATAATTTTTTCAACTCAGACCGATCCAGATTCAAAGTGAACTCACTCTACAAAAATGGCTTCCACTATTCTCTCAGCCCGGCCTGATCATATCTCTCAGCCTTATTGACCTCATGCCACACCATTCCATGGCAGATCCCGCAGATGGGTTCACCTATCATTGAGTCGATCCAACTTTGTCATTCATAAGCCTTATGACGTATCTGAAAGTGAGCGATGTAGCTTCCAAAATGGCATCCACAAGCTGTGGGTTTACTCTGCTGACAAGCCTTTCAAGTCTGGGAGCAATACTAGTCCTGGGACTGAGGTCTGCGTTCGAGTAAGCACCATGCATAATATATGTACGTGACAGTATCCAAGAAACTTTTCTGGGTTCCTGCTCAAAATTCTTGGTAACTTTTCTCCACTTGCTCAGCGATGATATATGACTCACTCAATCTATGTTCAACAGGGATATGACTGCACTTCTGGTGTGTGGCAATTTGAAGGATATGCATACGTGCCATCAGGCACAACTGGTGTGTCCATCATGCAAATCTTCGGAGGTGCTAGCGCTGCCACAACCATGATGCTTAGAGTCTGCAATGGAGCACTATCTTAGTACAGGGCTTCAATTGCTCAAAACATATTTGATAGATGGTTTAGAGTCAACGCAATCCATGATACTGGTGCCCCAAAAGTCAAGGTCTACATTGATGGGTCACCGGTGCACGAAGCTAATGGGAATGGGGCTTCATCCCATTACTTCAAATTTGGAGTCTATGCACTGGAGGGTGCGCCCGATTATATGGAGTCTCGTTGGAGGGGAATCAAGGTCCTAAGAAAGTAATTATGGATATATGTGCCTGTTCACGTAAATGTAGAAGACATTATTAGTCTTGGAATAAAATAAAATAAAAATATTATTAATTTATTCATGATATGCATGGATTTTTATTAATTATGTATGTATTTTTTTTAAATACACAAGCTCTTAATATATTAATATAATTTGATTTAACAAAATTATTTAAAAAATGTTTCCAAGAATAAAAAATAATATCCGATGGACCTTTCCAATGCATAAAATACAAGCCCAATCTCCTCCCACTGCGATTTGAAGGCTGCTATCCTGGCCCATCCCAAGATTCCTCTCATTCGATCTCAACCACATATCACAAATCCTCCATTCATAATCCAATGGCTGGAAATCCGTTCACACCTCCAATATAAACCCCGCCACACCTATTCTACTCTCCACCCTCTCCCATTCAAGAGCTCCAAAAACCCCGCCAAAACTAACAGAAAATCCCGACTACCTCAACATAATTCTCTCTCTAACAGCTCCCTCCCTCTCAAGAAAAATGGAACCCAAAGACTTCATGATCATCAAATCAACGGCCAAGATTCTCCTCCACATCCTCCTCCTCTCTCTCCTCCACCAAATCACAACCGCTAAACTCACCGACCAAGAACTTGACTTTGCCCTCTCTTCCCTCCGATCACACGGCTACACACTTTTCCCCAACGCCATCGCCACATCTGATCTCCGCCTCCAACTCCTCAACCAATCAAACCACGCGAAGTCGTCATTCTCAACCTTCACTCTCTTTTCCCCGCCTGACGCCCTCCTCTCCTCTCTTGACCTTGCCTCCGCTGCTTCTCGCTACACCAAATCCCTCTCCCTCCATGTGTCACCCTTACGCCTGTCAACTTCAGATCTAAGAAAGTTGACCGCCTCCTCCGGTGGGGCCTCCGTTGACTCTTTGGTGCCGAATCACCGTCTCTTGATCAATAACTCTCTGGCTCACGTAAACGGTACCGTTGTAGAGTCCGTTTTGGTTAATCGGGTTCGGGTTTCAGTTCCGGATCTTTTTCTCTGTCCTTCCATTGCTGTTCATGGACTTGACGGCGTTATTGTTGCTGGATTCGAAGACAGAGTCGAAGACACGTCGTTTGAGGCTGCGACGTCGTCTCAGATTGGCGCTATTTGGTCTCAGGAGCTGAATTCTCCACTGGAGGGGAGGAGGAATGGTGACAGGAGAGGGAACAATCGCCGAGGGCGGATCCTCAAAGGAGGCACTCGCGGTGATGTTGTTTCGGATGGTGCATTTGCAAGGTTTAATCACCATTAATTTTTTGTTAGTTTCCGTGATTTTTTTCCTGTTAAGGTCTGTTTGGATTTTGGAGCGCTAATGGATTCTTTACTTGGATACTTTTGAAAGAATCCAAACAGAACCTTAATTTGCTCTGAATATTATTTTTTTGGATTCAGAGCCTCTTTGGATGCTGAGAAATTGGTAGGATTGTTTTCTTGGCATGTTTTTCTTAACCAAACAGTTTATGACCCAGAATATTAGTTGCAAATGTGGGCCATTCAGATTCTCTAAACAAAAAGAGATTATAGCGTAATTGATATTCATTATTGATATTTCATTGGAAAATTATTTGCATAAGAACTATAAAAAAAAGGAAACATGGAAACATAAAAAATAAATAATAATAAGTAGAGGCTTCACTTGTGGTTGGGAAAAAAAATGGGTTCTGGTGTTGGAGAAGATGAATGAGCAGTGGCATCGCAGTAGACGAGCAGGATATCACCTTCTTGAACGGTGAAACCAAGGGAGGCAAGCATGGAAGGCCAGCAATGGTGTCCGATGATGCGGATGGCGTGGCAGCAGCTAGGGTGGAGATAAGTCTCGCCATTGACGAAGAAGAGAAGGACATTGGAGATGCAGGATTGGAGGTGGAGTAAGGAGCCCCAGCAGGTGGTTTCTTCGTTGTCTAACCGGAGACGGGCAGCGAGAGTTGTGTGGGTGGAGACTTGAGGGTGTTGAAATAAAACTCAATCTAGAAGGTCAAGGAAGGCAACCACCAGCTGTCACCGCCCAACTGTCCAGCCGCCGCCGCCAGCCGCCAGCCACCGGCCGCCGGCCGCTTTCACACCGTCGGCCAAAAACCGCCTTCACACTTGAAGGTTGAATTTTCTTGTTTTGATTTCGTGTATAAATAGATAGCTAAGCTTATGCAATTATGTGTGGAGAGATTGAGAGAAACACTAGAGAGAAAGAGAGAAAGAGAGAAAGAGAGAGGGGTTGTTGTAAGCTTTTGTTTATGTTATTGTAAGCTTTGTTCTTGAAATAAAAGAGTGTGTTTTATCCCCTCTGAGTGTTTCAAAGCCACCACAAGTGGTTTCTCCCACCAACAATTGGTATCAGAGCCCCGTTCGTCAGAAAACAGAGGTATTTTTGGGAAATATCCGAATTTTCAAAGTTGTCAAAAACAAGTTTTGATCATTCCAAAGTGTAGAGCTCATCAATACGAACTCAACGGTGCAAAAATCAGATCAATCGGAGCACGGGGTGGACCACACTCTCCGTCTGAAATTTCAGCACTGTAGCCCACGCGCCCCGAGGAAGAAGACGAGTGAGCCACACGCGCGCCATATTTGAGCCGCGCCGAGCCAAGCCTCAAGCCGAGTCGCGAGCCGAGCCACAAGCCATATTTCGAAGCCGAGCCGAGCTCCAAGCCATATTCCGAAGCCAAGCCAAGCTCCGAGCCATATTCTAAAGTCAAAGTCAAAAAAAGAATATTCCTTGGAATATTCCCGGTTCAACCCAGCAAACCACCCGAATTGGTTTTTGGACCGGTTCACCTGATTTGTGACCCGTTTTCTACAAAGTCAGACCGGTTCCCTACTATTTGGACCATTCCGGATCCATCTACGGTGTCGGTTTTGCCAAATTCAACTCCAAAAAAGGTGATATAGTCATTTAAAGAGCAAAATGACTACAGAAAATGCACAAACACTCATTCCAAAGCTAACCAAAGACAACTATGATAGTTGGTGCATCAGATTGAAGGCATTCCTTGGTTCACAAGAGTGTATAGACATTGTGCAATATGGTTATGAGGAACCAGAGTCCAAAGAATCAGAAGATGCTCTATCAGAGGTACAGAAGCAAGTCCTCAAAGCCAATAGAAAGAAAGACAACAAAGCAAAGACCATCATTTATCAAGGTCTTGATGAAGCGACATTTGAAATCATTGCTTCCGCAGAAACATCAAAAGAAATATGGGAGGCTCTCCAACAAAAATATAAAGGTGCTGACAGAATAAAGAAGATTCGTCTCCAATCTTTGCGAGGTGAATTTGAATTATTACAAATGAAGTCCTCAGAATCCATTTCTGATTATCACACAAGAATTATGGTGATAGTCAATCAGATGAGAAGAAACGGAGAAGCGCTTTCAGATGCTCGAATTACTGAGAAAATTTTGAGATCCCTAGATCCAAAATTTGATTTTGTTATTGTCGCTATTGAAGAGTCCAAAGAGGTGGACAAGTTAACAGTGGATGAACTTATGAGTTCTTTGCAAGCTCATGAGCAGAAGATTGTAAAAAGAAATGGAGATAAGGCAATTGAGCATGCCTTACAAGCAAAGTTGTCTCTCAAAGACAGATATGAGCAAGGGGAGACTTCAACAAGTGGATACACCACTCGAGGAAGAAGTCAACAAACACGAGGAGGATTTCAACGATTTCAAGGCAGAGGTTCTTGGAATACAGGTTTTAGAGGAAGAGGTGGTAGAAACACCACCAGAGGAGGTCGAGGACAACAAGCATTCACTCCTAGAGGAAGAGGAGGCGGTTACAATAACCGTGACAAGAGGAATATTCAGTGTTATAATTGCAATCAATTTGGCCACTATAGCACTGAATGTCAAAAGAAAGCTCCACTGGAGATACGTGAGCGAGTCAACTATGCAGAAGAGGATGTCAACAATAGAGGAGCAACTGCATTATTTGTCCAACAAGGACTTGATAAGAATCAAGAGAATATTTGGTATCTTGATTCTGGAGCTAGCAATCACATGTGTGGCCAACGAGATTTATTTGGTGATCTAGATGAGACCATACAAGGTTTTGTCACCTTTGGAGATACGTCAAAAGTTCCATTCAAAGGTAAAGGCAACATCCCAATCAAGTTGAAGAATGGCGATCATAGCTACATCGCCGATGTCTACTATGTCCCAGCCATAAAGCAGAACTTGGTGAGCATAGGTCAACTTTTGGAGAGAGGCTATACACTTTACATGAAGAATTGTCATCTGACAATTACAGACTACAATGGGAGATTAATTGCCTATGTGAAAATGTCCAAGAATAGGATGTTTCCTTTAAACATCCAATATGATGCAGCAAAGTGTTTGAGTGCCATCACCAACAGTGAAGAATGGCTTTGGCATCTGAGGCTTGGACATCTGAATTTCACAAGTCTGAAGATGCTAGCAAGCAAGAAGATGGTCAAAGGTATGCCCCACATTGATCATCCAGAAGAAGTCTGTGAGAGTTGTGTCCTCAGCAAACATCACAGATCCAGTTTTGCCAAAGAAGTTAACTGGAAAGCAAACAAGCCACTTGAGTTAGTACACACAGATGTGTGTGGTCCTATAAAGCCTATGTCGACTGGACAAAATAGGTACTTCCTCACTTTTATTGATGATTTTAGCAGAAAGACATGGGTATATTTTTTGAAGAGGAAGTCAGAAGTGTTCAATTGTTTTAAAGATTTTAAAGCAATTGTTGAGAAGCAAAGTGGCTATAAGATCAGAACCGTGAGATCTGATCAAGGTGGAGAATATACAGCAAATGACTTTGAAGCCTTTTGTACACAACAAGGCATCAGACATCAGACAACACCAGCTTATACACCACAGCTGAATGGTGTAGCTGAGAGGAAGAATCGAACAATTCTTGATATGGCAAGAAGTCTACTCAAAGCAAAGAAGCTGCCCAAGCAATACTGGGCTAAAGCTGTATCATGTGCAGTATATTTGCGGAACCGCTGCCCAACCAGAAGTTTGCAAGCTATCACTCCACAAGAAGCATGGAGTGGTCACAAACCAAGTGTTACTCATCTTCGAGTCTTTGGTTGTGTGGCATATGCAAAGATCCCAGATGCAAGAAGGACCAAACTCGATGATAAAAGTGAGAAATGCATCTTTGTCGGATATGGTGAGAGAAGGATGGGATACAAGCTGTATAATCCCATCACCAAGAAGGTAATTATGAGCAGAGATGTTATCTTTGAAGAAGATAAAACTTGGCAATGGAATGATGACCAAGAAGCAGTTAAATGGATCAGCACTGATTTGATCCTTGAAGATGAAGAAGTACCAACAGTACTTGCAGAAGGTCCAATAGTACCAGAAGATGAGCCACAAAGTCCGGTACACAGATTTCCTGTATTCAACAGGAGAAACACGCCAGAATCATCATCAATACCATCATCATCAGCATCCTCATCAGAAGGACCAAGAAGGATGAGAAATCTAGAAGAGCTGTATGACGCCACTCAAGTAATGGAAGATACAACTCTATTTTGTTTCTTTGTAGATAGTGACCCACTTAGCTTCAATGAAGCTATCACAGAAGAGAAGTGGATAAAAGCAATGGATGAAGAAATACATGCCATTGAGAAGAATGATACCTGGAAGCTGACTTATCTACCAGAAAACAAGAAAGCAATAGGTGTCAAATGGGTCTATAAGACAAAGAAGAATACAAAAGGAGAAGTGCAAAGATACAAAGCAAGATTAGTGGCGAAAGGCTACAAACAGAGAGAAGGCATTGACTATGGAGAAGTGTTTGCTCCAGTAGCCCGGCTAGAGACAATCAGATTGATGATCTCACTAGCAGCACAACATAGATGGAAGATCTATCAACTTGATGTGAAGTCAGCATTTCTGAATGGCTTCCTAGAAGAAGAGATCTATGTTGAACAACCACTTGGATACATTGATGATGAAAATGAAGGCAAAGTATACAAGTTGAAGAAAGCCCTCTACGGTTTGAAGCAAGCTCCGCGTGCTTGGAATACCAGAATTGACAGGTATTTTCAAGATAATGGATTTGAAAAATGTCCATATGAACATGCAATTTATGTGAAGAAAGAAGCAGATGGCAGCATATTATTTGTGTGCCTATATGTTGATGACTTGATATTCACCGGCAACAATCCTACCATGTTCGAAGACTTCAAGAAAAGCATGGTACAAGAGTTTGAGATGACAGACATTGGTCTGATGGCACATTTTCTTGGCTTAGAAGTGGTGCAGAAAGAAGAAGGGATTTTTGTATCCCAAAGCAGTTATGCCAAAGATATTCTTGAAAGGTTCAAGATGGAAAGCTGCAATCTGGTATCAACTCCAGTCGAGAATGGAGTGGAATTGAGGAAAAGTAAAGTTGGAAATGTTGATCCAACTTACTTTAAAAGCTTGGTAGGAAGCTTAAGGTACTTGACATGTACCAGACCAGATATACTCTACGGAGTCGGACTGATCAGCAGATATATGGAGAAGCCAGACCAGTCTCATTTGAATGCAGCCAAGAGAATTCTTCGCTACATCAAAGGCACAATCAATGAAGGTATGTTTTATACCTCAAGTACAAATTTCAATCTTACTGGCTACTCGGATAGTGATTGGGGTAGAGATCTGGATGAAAGAAAAAGTACAACAGGGTTTGTATTTTTCGTGGGAGATACATCTTTCACATGGTCATCCAAGAAGCAATCAATTGTCACATTATCAAGCTGTGAAGCTGAGTATGTTGCCGCCAATTCAGCTGTATGCCATTTAATATGGTTAAGGAATTTGCTAAAGTTTTTGGGATTTCCTCAAGAAAATCCTACAGAGATTTATATCGATAATCGATCAGCGATTGCATTGGCAAAGAATCCGGTGTATCATGAAAGAAGTAAACATATTGATACACGTCATCACTTTATCAGAGAGCATGTAAAGAACAAAGAAGTCGAGCTGATATCCTGCAAGACAGATGATCAAGTTGCAGATATTTTTACCAAGCCATTGAAAAGAGAAGTGTTTATCAGATTGAAATTCATGCTTGGAATGACATCCCTCGATTGAGTTTAAGGGGGAGATTTGTTGAAATAAAACTCAATCTAGAAGGTCAAGGAAGGCAACCACCAGCTGTCACCGCCCAACTGTCCAGCCGCCGCCGCCAGCCGCCAGCCACCGTCAAGGAAGGCAGCCACCAGCTGTCACCGCCCAGCCGCCAGCCACCGGCCGCTTTCACACCGTCAGCCACAACCGCCTTCACACTTGAAGGTTGAATTTTCTTGTTTTGATTTCGTGTATAAATAGATAGCTAAGCTTATGCAATTATGTGTGGAGAGATTGAGAGAAACACTAGAGAGAAAGAGAGAAAGAGAGAAAGAGAGAGGGGTTGTTGTAAGCTTTTGTTTATGTTATTGTAAGCTTTGTTCTTGAAATAAAAGAGTGTGTTTTATCCCCTCTGAGTGTTTCAAAGCCACCACAAGTGGTTTCTCCCACCAACAGAGGGTGTGCTATCATAGGCATGGAGGCTGTGGAGCATGTGAGGAAGAAAGTGAGCAAGAGCTTGAAAGAGAAATCCATTGGAGACTGGGAGGAATGTAAAGGAAGTTGCGTGGAGGAGATGGAGTTTGTAGTTTCATTTTATAGACGAGGAGCTTGGATTGTTTATCATTATGGGGAGCTTAAGAGACTGAAAAGGAGTGAATGGGAGATTTATTGAGGATTTTGAGAGTTCAGGAGCTCTAGTAACGGCTGATGAAAGGGTTTAGCTGTTTTGTAAGTTAATGGATTATGAATTATTCATAATAGTCATTGATGATGATATGTCTGTTAATGATCACTGGATAGTCCTGCTTGTTCATTGATGACTCCGTCGTTTTACAGGCTCGACGGAGTCACTTTCCGGTGGAGCTGTAGAAATTGATTGATGACAGATGATGCATGCAGACACACGGTGCCTGTGGGCATGGCCATTTTTGTATGTTAACTGAAGAGAAAGAATGTCTCATGAAAGAGTTTGGAGTCACAGTACTATGCGTTTGCTGCATGTGCTATTGCATTGGATTTACTAAAAACTGAACCCATACTAGTGTCTCCTACCATATGATCTCTCGCTGGTCTGCTCTGTCAAGGTAGTCTAGCCGGAATTTTTGGGAATTTTCCGATGACAAGTTAAGCAAAACTAGTGAAGAAATGTAGGGGGAAATTAAAGGGTGGTTTGGGAATTTTTGTTCATATCGCTTTCAGTCACTTAGTTCTTCATAATAGTTTCATTGTTGTCAAATGTTTTGTGACGGTACATTACCGGAACAGAGATGCAAATCTAGTTGCTCAGGAATTACCCTAACCCTGACCCCCTCTGTGATATTTTTGGCAAGATACGATTACCAACAAAACTAAACCTAAATTTAACCTTGGAAATTGTGAGGGTTCAAGAGCCCGACTTTGCTTAAGGGGAATGCTATTTTTTGCACTAGAAGATGAAATAATGTTGTTAATTTTTCAAAATCTCACCTAACTCTTGTGTAGACATGGATTAGAAAATGTAAAGGCTTGAATTAATTTCATTGATCAAGATCGGAGGATAGGATGGGATTATCTATCTGATTCTTGATGTATTTTGTGGTTGTCGATCCCTTGATTCTTGTTGATTGATCAGTGATGTATATATGAAATCATTAACACGGACTATGGAGAGAAAACTAAAACATTAAGAAAGCACAACACTACGAACATCATGACACCGAACTTGAACAACATTGAAGACTCAAACGTGGAAAGCAAAAACAACAGAAAACAGGCAAATTCAAAAACACACAAGACCCTGGATTACAAAGCTAGTAGACTAGATCATCATCAACTCTCTTTAAATCAGCATAGGTTGATATTGAGCAGGAGCGCCAGCAGCAAGAGGTGAAGGAGCAGAAGCAGGACTAAAATAAATAGAAGGTGGATTAGGAGAAGCATCACAGTATCCTCTAAGTATGTTTCCTTCCTCATCTGTGAAGCCAAGAGAAGTAAACATGGCAGGCCAGCAATTATGAGTGATAGTATGAATAGCGCGACAACAGTCAGGGCCAATATCAGCCTGGCCATTCATGAAAAACAAGACAATCTCATTTGTGCAAGATTTTATCTCCACGAGTGCACTCCAGCACTCCACAAGGCTGCCCTCGTCTTCAAGTCTTGCTGAAAGGCTGTTGAAGCCTGGTTTGTTAATGAGAATGTCCCTAGCTGCAGTTGAAATATTGGCTGAGATCAGCAACGTGAGAGACAAGAAGAGAGCAAGATTCTTGAAAGCTGCCATGATCAAGTGTTTTTGCTTGTGTTTGTGTAAGAGGAGATGGAGAATGGAGAGAGATGCTTAGGTTTGAGAATTTGTGGGGTATTTATAGTTTGTAGAGAGGAGGCAAGGGAGATGAGAGGGCTCGTTAGAGGAAAAAGAAAAAGAAAAATGGTGATTAGTGGTATTTAATCCAAATAGTTTAAGAGGAGATGGTGGGTTTCTTAAGTTGTAACTGATAAATTAATTTTTGATTAATTATCCTAATCCTAATCCTAACCTGTTTTTACCTTTTTTTTTAACAAAAACAATTATCGGTTTATATTAACCAAAAGAAGAAGAAGAAAGAAATTGGTGTGTTCCTATTTAGTTTTTTTTTTTTTAATTATTAGACAAAAGATAAAGAAAATAGAGAAACTGAAGGTATATGGCTTTTTATCAGCTTTTGTTAGTTACTTAGCATGTATTGGAATATTTGGAAAACTATACAAAAGATAGAGAAATACTAGCATTTAACTCATGTTCTGCCATGGGTTAGATTTTTTTTCAATAAAAAAATTAAATATACAAGTTTCTCCATTGCATTTTCTTAAATAAAAAAATCAAGTATAAATTAAAAAATTAATACATGCATTTAACTAAATAAATTGTAAACTATTTGTGTTTATAAGTAAATAAATAAATAAATCATTAGCGATAACTAAATATAAAAATAAAAAATTTAGAAACAAATATAGATTAAAATATTTGATTTCACAACACGAGTTATATATTGTATTCAATGACTTTATTCATTAAAATTAATTTTTTTATTTAATTAAATAATAATAGAAAACAACACGTATAGGGAACTTATTAAATAAAATAAAAGAAAAACAAATATTATGCAAGGTTGCACATATTAAAATACTTTTTTTAAAAAGTTTATTTATATAAAACATCAAAAAATATAGAGTGATCATAATAATATCTTCAAAAATTAAATACATAAAAATATTAAAAAAACTATATTAAAAATGACCAAATAAGAAAAATAAAAAATTATAGAGAAGGGATATTAACTAAAATATAAATTTAATAATAATTTTAAAAAACATATTATAAAAATTTATCAATTAAAATAGAATAAAAAATATAAGAAAAAGATAATGATGACTTAGATGATGCTAGCACATTTAAAAGAAATAAGAAAAATAGAAGGCTTAGGTTACAACTCTAACCGAGTTTAATAAATTGATTTTATTTTAATTAGATAATAAAAAAAATAATGATAGTAAATTAATAAAGTTTTTATAAAAATAAAGATCACAATAACTTGAAGAAAAAAAATACTTAGAAATACAGAGACGAGTTAACCAGCAAAACTTGTTATCTAGATTATAAAATCGAGATAACTCGATAGAAAAAATTGAGAAAAACCACAAAGTCATGCCTTTATTTTTTTTTTAATAAAAATACATGTTAAGCGGTGAAATCATAAAAGAAATTAAATTAAAAAAAAGATGTCAACCCGTATTAATATTTTAAATTTGTGATCTGAATTATTAGACTAAAAATACTATAAATGGAAAAACTAAGAAGCTCAACCCCTAGAAAATCTATTAGATGAAATTAAGATTAAAAATCAATTACAAAGAAGGATAATATATATATATATAAAAAAAAGAATGAGAGTGAAAGTCAAAAAATAAAATAAATAAGAGGGTAATAAAAAATTTTCATTTGAGGGGTTAAATTGAAAAGAAAAAAAACTTCAACAAAAGAAAGAGAAAATCACAAGAATGAGGACTAGAAAAAATTAATACATTATAAACTTTGATTGAATGATAAAAATGAAAACTAATAAAATTTTAACTGAAAAGCTATGGAAAAAAATTAGAAATAAAAAACAAGAATTGAATTGAAGAAAAAAATATATATGACAAATTGTAATTGAAGGACTAAATTGAAAATAAACAAAAATTTTATAAAAATGCTAGGAAAAATTTAAAAATAAAAAATAAGGACTAAAATAAAAACATTAAAAACAAAAAGGATGCATATGCATTTTTTGAGGGAGGAGAGGGAAAAAAGGAAAACAAAGAGAAAAAATCAGTGACAACATACCATTTATCTTACACTAACATATATCATATCAGGAGGAATATGATATAATAATGCTTCTAATAATACGATGAAAGACGACATTTAATGGTTAAAATCCTCCACAAGCATCACTCCAATATCACAGGTGAATTTTACTTTTTCACACCAACATGTAATATACCATCAACTTGTTTTTAATATTTTATATTACTAAAAGACATAAATGCTTCTAATCCTAGTAAGAAATAAGCCAAAAAAAAAATAGATACAGACCAAAATATTCCTCTAAGAAAACTTTAAATTATTTAATCCTGAGGGCATTTAAGTCTTTTTATTGTTCATCAAAAAATAAAATGACCATAAAACTCCTTAATAAAAGTTCACTTTTTTTTTTGTTAAAAAATAATTTTAATAACTTAACTGTTTAAAAATACACAAAAATCTTTATGCCTTTAATAAGTTTTTAAAAGACATGTGTTCTTTATAAAAGATCAAAATATCTTCATTACAAACCTTTATTTTTGTTTTGAAAAGGGAAAAATAGAAAAAAACAATATTGATATATTATGGATATTCATAATGTTTTTTCTACTTGTTTTAGAGTTTTTTTTAATTTTGTTATGTAATTTTCAAAATAAATCAATGAGTTCATAATTGAATAAATAAGATTCTCTTATAAGTACAAAGATGAATTCTAATGTTCTGTAATTCAAAAATTAGTTGGAAAAGACTAGAATCACTAAATTATTGAGTTATCTTATGAATTATTAGATGAACTTATGGTATACTAGAATAACTCTGCTAATTATTAGGTAAATTATTTTTATTAAAATATCATTGTTTTGTTTTTTATTTTTATTTTCTTTATATTCACTTATCTTTGTTTATCTTTGTTTGAATTGAATTCAATTAGGTGAATCAAGTTTTACATAGTTAATATCTTATTTGATTTAATTAAAAATATAACGATAAGTCTCATAATCATAAATTTTCTATGTTAATTTGTCATATTAGATTAAATTTAAAAATTATAGTTAAAAATTTATATTTATAAAAAAAATTAAAATAAAATTCAACCACACTCATAAAAATATTGACAATGAATAATTCAAAATCTACAGTGTTGTGTCCTTTACTAATTATATCAAGAAACACCAAATAATCTCATAGCATAACTTCTTGGTCCATATTTGTTTGGGCTCGGCCTAGTTTTCTGTGGGCCTAAGTTTGCAAATAAACAATTAAGTCCACCTGCCTCAAACACTGTTGGTCTCCTTTCCCCCTTCTTCAGACGACAAAGCTTTCAGCTTTCTTTCCCGCCCTGAAAAAACCGAAGAATCAATCAATCGAGAGAGAGAGAGGGAGAGAGAGATGAGCGACGTCTCGGAACTGCCAAGCAAGGAGGCAAACTTGCTGAAAGGTCACGAAGGAGGAGTCTTAGCGGCAAGATTCAACGGTGACGGAAATTATTGCCTGAGTTGCGGCAAAGACCGCACCATTCGTCTTTGGAATCCTCACCGCGGAATCCACATTAAGACCTACAAATCTCACGGTCGTGAAGTTCGCGATGTTCACGTCACCCAGTAAGATAAAATAAATCTTTTTTGTTTTAATTTTAAGAACACTGGAATTGCTTTGATTTCTTATTAATTTTAATTTTTTTGGTTTTTCTTTAAAAGGGATAATTCGAAATTAGTTTCATGTGGAGGAGACCGACAAGTGTTTTACTGGGATGTGGCTACTGGTCGTGTAATTCGGAAATTCCGAGGACATGGTAGTGAGGTAATTTTTTTTTAAGGTTGTTTAATGAGCATATGGGATGTATTTTTCAGTTGTATTTATGTTGTTTTTGTTTTGATGTAGGTGAATGCTGTGAAATTTAATGAGTATGCATCTGTTGTGGTATCAGCAGGTTATGATCAATCATTGCGTGCTTGGGATTGTAGATCTCATAGTACCGAGCCAATTCAGGTGTTTTATGTTTCTGAATTTGTTACTATAAATTGTGAATATGTAGGTGCTGTGGTTGATTTTTCAAAACTTGGTGTTTTTTTTTCCAGATCATTGACACGTTTTCAGATAGTGTGATGTCTGTGTGTTTGACGAAAACTGAAATTATTGCTGGAAGTGTTGATGGTACTGTTAGAACATTCGACATTCGTATTGGGAGGTATCTATAGGTGTTGGGATTTGATAAAGTTGGTGTTGTCGGATTGTTATCATTGGATTAATGATGTTGGTCTTTTGCGTTATTTGTGTAGAGAAATATCTGATAACTTGGGGCATCCTGTCAACTGTATCTCGATGTCAAATGATGGTAACTGCATATTAGCGAGTTGCTTGGATTCTACTTTGCGCCTATTGGACAGGTGAATTCTCATGCTTTTATGAATAAGTCTCATAGTTTCTGTTGTCTGATGTTTGTCTGCCTTGTCTTACTGGTTCCTGATGGCAGAACTACTGGCGAGCTTTTACAAGAATATAAAGGACATATATGTAAGGTAAGTTGGCCAAACCTCCTTTTGTTATTTTGAGATCACAATAATAAGTTGAAAACTTGTCAATGTCTCAAGTTCCATTCTCCATTGTTCTTCACTTCTAATTGTTATTATTATTATTTTATTTTGTTGTTATTGGTTGGTTATTCTGCATCAGTCATACAAGTTGGATTGCTGCCTCACCAACACTGACGCCCATGTTGCTGGTGGCTCAGAGGATGGCTACATTTACTTCTGGGATCTTGTGGATGCGTCTGTGTTGTCACGTTTCCGAGCTCATTCCTCAGTGGTAAAGTTGTTTAGCATATTTATTTGATAACTGCAGCAAATTTCCGCCTTCTCACTTCTATTCTAAAAAACATTTAGTTTGCTTATTGAAATGATTCAAATTACATGTTTGTGCTTAAGTTCGTGCAGTTTTAGGTAGTTTTGCCATGCTTC